CTATAGTATTAATATACTATTATTACTTAGAGCAGGTGTATAAACTTCACGTTTCACATTTTACAACAGGGTCCACAATTATCCAGCTGAACCACCAAAAATCGACTGGGCGTTTTACAAATCGCGAATCGTCTCCTCAGGTCTTGTGGATAAGTTTGAAAAGCAGGTATGTAAACACATGAACCCATGGCACACCATGAAACAGAACAGTTTCAGCCTGGCATTTGAATCGTATATACACGTACATAAGCTCACGCACACACACCACACACGCATGCATGCTCGCAAGCACAAAGATTTCCGAAGCATCCCAGGTGTTTAGCGGTGCATTCCTTAATTATGTAACTGTGAGTATCACTTCAAACATTAAATTCATGTTAATTCGGCCATTTATACTAGCATCAGAATTAGATAATTATTATAATGTATTACACGGGGAAGGGAGATGTTCAAGATTCAAATAATTTACCTGACACCAATTACAGTTATATTTACATTACATTTTTACACTCATTTGCATTAATTACATTTTAATATATAGTATTCAGAGGATAAAAATAAAAAAACCCTAGTGTCATCAAATTATCCCAAAAAATGGTCTTTACCAAAAATTTTACCCAGCGGTATGCATGCGAAACCGGTGACCATACAGGCTTGGTGCTAAGAAATGCAAAACCGATTCTTTAGTACACTATGCATTTTTGCATGATATATCTGCATTATCAATTGTAAACCATGTAGTTTTTTTTTAATTTTGTCACAATTTTTTTGGTTACACATGTTGGAAAAATACAGAGTGTACAGTCTGAATACAGCATAAAGTTGCACTGTAATTAAAAGCGTACTTGCGAAGCATTTATAACTAACTCTGTATATTGTAGTAATGGGACATTGGAAGCTAAATAGATTGCCATTAATGTCAACTGGCACTTGATCTCCTTTACCAAACTCCACGACAGTTGGCGCTCTCGCTCTGGCTCAATTCTACCACTGCCACAAGCTGATTTCCGTAAGAATTTCTTACGCTTTTTTACTATAAGTTTTACAGCGACCCCGTTACTTAAATAGGCCAAAAGTAAGATATTTGATGAAGTAGATGCCAAAATGGTATGCAAAGAGAGTTTTTCTAGAATTGCCTGTATGGAGGAATCTGCCAGGAGCCGCAATGATTTAAAAAATTTGTAACGTTTCAAAAAATAACGTCGTACGAGTGATAAACCTGTGGTAAAACGCTTGCGATGAATCTGCATTATCTTAAGTTTTAACCTGTAACTAAACTGCGTTACCTTACGTTTTTACCTTAACTTGTGATTAAACTGTGTTATCATAAGATTTAACCGCTGATTTTATTGTGTTATCCTACGTTTTACCTGTAATTAAAAAAACCTGGGATTAAATTGCGTTATCATGCACATGTTACTTGAGATTAAAACATGTCATTAAGCCTTTGTTAGAAGGCTTTAAGGAGATATTTTGCTGATTAAATAAGTGAGATCGGAAAGTCCAGCTGTGCTAATTAGGTCACCGAAAAAGGGGGTATAAAATGACCGAGGCGCCCTTAGGAAAGTACATGATTAATGTAAACACTCGTGCGTTTTTAGTTTTTGCATTAACACAAACATTGCAAAATATCCTAAATGACCACAAACATATTTGTAAATGTTTATGTAAACACAAACGCCGCTGTGAATTGAAGTACGATGTTAGTGAGGAGAATTATAGATCAAAAGCCTAGAATAGCCCTATCCAACCCATGTTATACCCCCTCTTATCTGATCTCAATATGGCGGCGGGGACTTTCCGATATGGCTCTGTGTAGCAGCAAATTAATCTGTGTAATAAATGTCAGGGGCGCATTTCAATAATCTTGCAATTAGCAATAATATTCTTTCTTTATGTTTAGTGTAAATAAAACTTTTATCTTTTAATTCAAACTACTGTAGTCGTAGTTTTTACCCACTTGATTAAAACACGTGATTACACTTTATTATATTCATGATTGTAGCACAAATTCAATTTGTGTACAAAACATTAGAGAGCGAAATTCAATAATTTTGTAATTATTAGTAATGTTTTCTCTTTAAGTTTGGTGGCAATTAAACTTTCATTGAGGCAGCAATTTAATTTGTGTGAGAAATGTTAAAAGGCATAACTGAAATATATTTTTATTTTATTTTTCTCGTGAGGTTTACTGCAGGAAATAACCATGAAAATAGGCAAAATAGTTATTACATATCGACAGCAATCATCAGAATAATCGATCATGTATGCTTGTTACTTAGTATCATGTTTAATTATGTATACTATCATTGAGTAAGCACCGAGTAATACTGATCGATATTTTTCGTTGACCTTTTCTATACGGTCAAACTGGAGTCGGGCAGGCTGCCAGCACGTGTGCATGGTAAAATTAGATCTACATACTTCACTTCACTCGCAGCATTGCACCACGGTTTTCAGCTATGCTAATGTATGGGCAAATGGCGCTGCGACGTCGGTCGCCGTTGACTGCCAGGATAATATTCTTTGGCCTTTCTTATACGTTCAAACGGGAGCCGGGCAGGCTGACAGCACGTGTGCATGGTAAAATCTTTTCTACATGCTTTACTTCGCTCGCAGCCTCGCGCCACGATTCCCAGCTATGCTAATGTATTGGCAAATGGCGCTGCGACGTCGGTCGCAGTTGACGGCCAGGATAATATTCTTCGGCCGTTCTTATACGTTCAAGCTGGAGCCGAGCAGGCTTAAAGCACGTATGCATCGTAAAATTTGATCTACATGCTTTACTTCGCTCGCAGTATCGCGCCACGATTCGTAGCTATGCTAATGTATGGGCAAATGGCGCTGCGACGTCGGTCGCCGTTGACTGTTAAGATAATATTCAACGTGAACGAGCCAATCAGCGCTTGGAGAGGTCAAGAATGAGATAGTTTTTCAGAGTATGCATGCGCTTGAATTTGTTATTTCTCATTCGAAATGCTTAGAACTCTTTGCATTTGTTAATTTCAGAAACTATTACCTCTGCTGAATCCGACAGTGTAAGCGGCTCGTCCGGGGTGCGTTGCTGGGGCGGCCGGGGAATTTTCGAAGGAAGCCTACTTTTTCGCGTAAAATGTCATTGCAAAGTGGCCATTTCGAGTGCGTGCCGGCAAAGGCTTGTTTAAAAACATTATGGAAAAACTTTTGAGTTAACAACATAATATGGTGTCACTTGCGACGTGGATTCAGAGGATGGCATTGTGATTTCTCCAAA